CTGCACTGGAAGTTATAAGGTAATTGGGGTAGAAGGATCATACTGCAATCAAAGCTCTGATCAGCATGATCACTGCAAAAGTGTGTATGGAATTTGTCTGCAAACAGCCATACATATTTCCTGATCTTTTTGTAATGTCAGATCACGTTGTTCTTACCTATTGGTAATAAGTGGTTCTCTGGTGGCTCTGGTTAAAATCGGGCAGTGCTTGTCAGTCTAATCAAATTGTAGGTTTAATCAAATACAAGCAACTTTAAAAACATTCATTTTAATCATCATTGGACGTCTTGAGATCACTGACTCTTTCGATTCCATTTTCAAGACATCTGTAGATGTAACACAACAGTAATATGCAGTGTTAGTACAGTGGTTAGAATTACTGAGGTGAAAATTTAATTATTTGTCACATTTTCCATCCATTCCAAATGACACAGAAACTGAATGTCGTCCTCATCATCAATTTTGTCATGAAGGTTTGTTCATGACTTGATTTTTAAAAATTCTGGCCCTCATCTTACAGCAACAACAACAAGATTGCATTTATAGAGCACCTTTCATATCGGGAGGACGTCCCAAGGCGCTGGACAGTTGGGTCGGGACCCGAGCCTTAGGGGGAAATGGTCAGGGTGAGGGGAGGGAAGGGAGGGAGCGAAGAGGGGGTAAATGGTCAGGGTGAGGGGAGGGAAGGGAGGGAGCAAGGAGGGGGGAAATGGTCAGGGTGAGGGGAGGGAAGGGAGGGAGCGAGGAGGGTGTAGAGAGTCGAGAGGGGAGCTGAAGGCACGGTTGAAGAGAAAGGTCTTGAGACCGGCTTTGAAGGAGGAAAGGGAGGAGGCGGCGAAGGCACTGGGAGATGGAGTTCCAGAGTCTAGGGGCTGAGAGGCTGAAGGCCCGACCACTGGTTGGGGCGGGGGATGTGTAAACCGGAGCCAGAGAAACGGAGGGTACAGGCAGGTAAGTAGGGGCCGGGAAGGCCGGTGAGGAGAGAGTTCCCATAGTCCAGCCTTGAGGTGATAAAGGCATGGACCAGTGTTTCACCTTAACTGGGACTTCAGAGCCTGACTGTTTTTCCAATCCTGGAGGCAGCATTTGCCTTCATTTCGTCACCATTCTTACAGTTATGGAGTAGGTGGGGTAGGTGGGGGGTGGGGGAAGGTGTGAAATATAGTATGCAATGTGAGAATTGTCACCTGTGGTAATTATCACTTAAACCAGTGCTGTCAAACTCAAATTAACACTGAGAGAAAGAAATGGCAGATCTATAATAAAAACGGACTCAACATAGATACAATACATAACCGAAGATTGTGTAACTATATCCTGTCTCAGCACTGCAGATAAGTTTTTCTATGCAATCGTTATGTCTCATAGATGCACCCAGTCAATCAGGAACAAGCAAAGACCAAGAAGAGTATGTATGTACGATATATGATAATAAAGCTACCTTACAACATGTCCACAAAACATGTGTCGGATCCCACAAAGTGGGTGATTTTACAGTCTCCTCCTTCCCTACAGGAAGCAATAATACTACAAACCAAATGAATGCATCATTTAATCTTGGTGTTGTTTTGTGTTCATTAACTTGAGCAACAGGAATATTGAAGAAAGGAAAGCATTTAAAGTGTATCACCCTATGGGGTGGAATTTGGCTGCCAAGCCAAACTAATTTCCCTTAGTGGTGTGAATTTATATTGGCATTTTTCCTACAAAATACACCATCACTACACTTTACAGCAAATCCTGTGAGACCCTTGGAGATGTCCCACCAATGGACAAGGGGCTATAATAAATGCAAAGATTATTATTATTATTTCCATTAGCTTCCTCTACTGTGCCCTCAAAATGTGCCTGGACACCAACCAATTTAGTGGCAATTTGTCCTAAATTGTAACCAGCATTGTACTTGTACCAGTGTGAGTTAGAGATTAGGTTAGGACTGCCAACCTTGTTTCATGTTGGACTGCTATAATGAACTGGATAGGAGTCCATCAGAACTGGAGTAAAGCCCAGATTCCAGTAATGAAAGGGCAGTGTGTGGACCCAGCATGTCACTTAGCCTCTTAAGCTAAACCTTTTTGTGCGATCTGACACTATCAATATTTCAGAAATCTTTGCAACCAGACAAGGCCACAGTGCTTTTTTTTGTCAGCTGAAGCAGGATCTTGTATTGACACACTGAATCTTGTTCCAAATGAAGTTAAGCTGCAGCTATAGTTAACAGAGTAAGTTCTTGTTCCCATGAGCTTTAACAGAATTTCAAAAGCAGACAGAAATTTCAATTAATTAAAAACACAACTTGTACAATTTTTTCTTTTCTTGTGGAAGCAATGCCCTCTGAATCCTAACAAATACAGCCTGTCTATTTGAACTTTGCCCATTCAACGAAGCAAGGGTTCTTTGACGAGAAAATACTCCCCTGCTTTCAGGGCTTGTTTCACACAAAGAGCATTTTATATAAACGTCTCACGTGAAACTGAACTGAGACAAATTCGATAAGTCAAATGTCTCTTAGGTTTTTTTTCATGATTTGGTTATCGACATTTCTCAAAGCATTCCCAGGCTTCTTGAACCTTTTTGAAGCATTTGGCCTTTGCTCCTTCCGAGATTCAGAGGGAAGAGAAAAAAAGGATGTACATCACAAAGTTAAAGAAATACATTAAAACTCAGCAACTTCAACCAGAGGGCTGTGGTTTTACCATAGAAATGTAAATATTGAGGCAAATATGTTATAGAGATATAGATCACAATGAGTACTTCTGGTCCTGTCTAATCCTATGCTCCTTCTATGTGATAATCACCCATCCCCCACCGGTTAGCATTAAATGCTTGAGTTTGATGACTCGAACGGTCTCCAGCTGAAGTTACTGGCTATGGAGTTTCAAAGGATTCTAAGTCTGTTACACCTCCAATTGGGAATGCTGCTCCAACTAAACCTATTTTCAGAGTGGGGTTCACTCAAGTTGGAATAAGGTTCGTGATGTACTGTTAGTTACTGCAAGACAGATTTGTTAATTAAAAAATACTGTAGTGCAACATTGACCCTAAAATCTGCAAAATTAATCTTACAAAAATTTTGCTTTGATTGGGACCCTTTGGAAGTTCAAAAACAGGAGACATAAATTTTGACCAGGTTCACCATTTGACCAGTCCTGCTCCAGTGATTGATCCACCTACTTTTAAAGAAGTGCAAAAAGCCTCTTGCTTCAAAATCATGCCCTCACCACACACACCTCAGCTCATCATAACTCACTTACACATGCCTGGCTCATAACCCAAACATAGCAATATGAATGTCCATCGGTTTGCAACTCCATAATGCATCTGAATAAGAATGTTGATTTAGTAACAATTTGTGTTAAATTGCACAATGTTCTACTGTTGGATATGGGCTTAACTAAATTGACTAAAACTACAGTTAGGATCCAACTCCAGTTCATGGCCTGATCACCTTCTTGGTGTGACTGTTGAGAAGTGTGTCGTGGGGGGGAGGGGAGGTAATAGATCCTTCGTCCAGCAAACACAGGGACAAGTCATGTGTTGATTATCACAATCTCTAAATTCAGTGCAAAAGGCCAGAAATTCCCCAGACAATTCCTAATTCCATGGCTGTTAATTGACCCATTTTTTATTAATAATAAGCCTTGCATTTGATATAGTGCCTTATGCCCCCCATCCCGTCCACCCGTCCACCCCCCCCCCCCCCCACCTTGTAAATCGAGAGATTCACTGAGATGTTCTGGCTGTTGTCAGTCCTGGTGGTCTGCTCACAGGCGGGACGCTGAACTATTTATTTTCAGTTCTTATTATGCTGAGAATCGAAACCAGCGTGCTTGCTAGTCTCTGAGGTTCCGTCAACATCGTGATGATGTCAGACTTTCACACATGCACAAAACGTCCTCGAAAAATCATCTTGGCTTTCCTCACTACCTGAATAACAATAACAGAGGGGAAGTTGGGGTTATTGTGCTCCTAAACCTTTTAGCGGTTCTGCTCCTGTTATTTGGTTTTGCAGAGATCAACAAAATATAAATTTCTAATGGTTTTCACATGGATGGGTAAAAATGTCCCCCAAGTCTAGATGTACTCTATTATCAGAACAGTGCAGAGTGTGCACAATTTGGCAAATCCTCAGTAATTCCTTCAAAAAAATAAGAATAAAAAGTATTAATTTGGTCACTCAATCCATGACTGTTTGTGGGACACTGCTGTGCGCAATTGGCTGCCACATTTTGCCCACAAAATATATCAGTCAGTTCACTTTACAGTATATTTTGTGAAGCACTTTGAAACGTCTCAAAGACGTGATAAGGTGTTATATCAAATGCAAGTATTATTATTTCATTTTGAAGCCGGTTTTCTGTAAGTGTTTCAAAGAGACTGCAGAAAATGGGCTTCAAGGTTAAAACTGAATTCAGCCATTTGCCAAATACTGCACGCTCCGAAATACTATGTCAATAAAATAAATTTAGACCCGAGTGAAACTTCAGCACAGGGCTTTGGTGTTTGATGGCATTGTGAAACTTACACAATGATGCCACAACATTAGTGATCACACACTGATTCTGGTCGTTCTGTGGCTGAGATTTTTCATTATGGAATCTGAATTTCCCATTCCTATTAGGAGTCAAATTTGGAATCTGATCAGTGGCATATTTAAAGCCCAAGAAGCTAGCACGGGTCTACCAGTAAAGGTTTAACTCAGCAGCTTCTGTTGTTATCCCATAATCTTCAGTAAAAATATTCGTAAATAGGACCGTGTCTCTTTTAGTTCAACAAAGCCATTTTAGGGCAATTAAATTCACTGCCCATGTGCACACAAAACATCAACATTCATTGCTTGAATCAAATGTTCATGTCATGAGGGTAAAAGAGTTTTTTGTTTTTCAGGATTTATTTCATGATCAGAATGGTGTCTCAATGAAAAAATAGATGTGTGTTTATTTGGCTTTATCATGCATTCTTCATTTCAGATCAACAATACCAAGCAAAATAATAAAATCCTTGATTAAGACACCTTTATTTGAAAACTAGAACATACATGACTTCTACGCTGGCACTTTTACACATAAGCACAGGCATGGCTCATCTGCACCATTGTAAGTGGCACACTACATTGAAAACTACGCTGTAATAACATTGCACTGTACAAAGCTAGGAGTGTTCCTTAAATAACGAAAGCCATTTTTGTAAAACAACAAAGCTGCAAATAACAGATTGTTGCCAAAAGCACAGGTATAGTACATGCACTGCATAAAAGCTAGCATCGACATGCTTCTGCTTGCAGAGTATGTGCCATTTGTAGGGAGGAAGTACACCATTCACACTGCTGCTGTACCGACTTAAGATACTGAAAAAGTTAACACTGACACTGTCATCACCAGTGCAGAGTATCAAATGGCGTCTTCTCAACCAAACATGTATTCAGGTTCAGTCAATGGATAAACAATGCATTCAGTTTACAACACACATATAGAGTCAATGGATACACAATGTATTCAGTTTGCCATACACATGTGCAGGATTCAACACATAAGACATGCACACTCCATAATGAGTGATTTGACATCTTTTAACTATTTGTAAGATCCAAATGTACATTTATTGCTTATTGTCATTAGGTACACATGCTTTGGGAGAGGGAGTGCCAGTAATCCAATACTGGTTTTGTAAGTGGTTGTTTTTGCTGACAGGAAATGCACACTCAAACAACAGTGACTAGGTGGTAAAGGGCAAAGTTGACACTTTAAGAAATATTTACCTACCCAGTCAATGCAAGCCCAACAGATAGAGCTAACCACATTGCAATTACCAGCATTCTTGAATGCCACTGATTCAAAGGGACAATGAATCATATCACTGGGAATTAGTAAGTCTGCAACTTCTGTTACAAAACTGTCCTTAGGTGCGTAAAGCATCCTATTTTTTTGGTATGGCACTTTCTTTTGCTTGTTTTCATGCGATTCAATTACATCTCATTCAAATCTTTCCAATATTCAAATGTGCCACACAATCAGATCACCCTATATTTATATAAAAAAACACATAATATTACAATGTGAGTCAGTAATGAGAGGGCACAAATCTAAGAAAATTACAGAGGGCAAGTCAGAAAAACATCATCTAACTCAACAGGCGTTTACAACACGGAACACTGTGCCACAAACCATAGTTGAAGTGGAGGTTATTTTTCTTGTTTTCCCATGCTTATGATAGTGTGGGACTTAGATAGATGCTTAAAGAGGAGAGCATAAGTAACTACCAGAAGAATAGGATTAGACAAGGTGGCTCATATGGAGAAAATCACCAGGGTAAAACGTGATAGACTGAATGGTCTATTGCTCTATAGTAATTGTGATTCTACTGTGTAAACGTTACAAATTTGCAACTTGCAGTAGGTCAGATTCTCTGAACTTGTATAACAAAACATGTTGGTGAAGCTCATAATTCCTTATCTGGTACAACACTCTCAGAAACACTGGCTGTGTTGAACACTGAGCTGATGCTCTGAAGTTTATGATTATCATTACTTTTTCCCACTGGAAATTGAGACTGTGGGTGGAGACAGGGCAAAGGGCAGGTGCGAGTGAGCCTGACAAAATCTCTGAAGGGTAAGAAATACGTGCAATGTTCTCTTGTTTTCACAATAACATGCTTATGATATTGTGGGACTCGTAACACAAATAAGTAAAAACTCATTGTACAATATGCAATAATATCTAAGCATTCAATATGAACGTACATATACCTAAAGGAAACCAAAGAACTTTGCAAAGTTCTGGAGTCTTAAAAAAAATTAGTGTTTGAAGGTAGCTAAGAGTTTAAAAAAAATAATAATTTAAGTTCACAAGAGGTGAGAAGTTAATAATACTGTTTAATAAGGCACGTTAGCTTACAACCAGCTCACAGTTCTCCATTGGTCATTGATTGATTCATTGCCTTGATTACACTTGATGGGGTAATGATTTGCGAGAGCTCTGCTTCCTTTGGCTTCTGTGAATTGCTACTATTGGACTTGCTTTTTTCTCCGCCTGGTTGACTTGGCAACGATTTGGCTACTTTGGTATTGACCAGACAGCCACAGAGGAGGCGGAAGAAGGCCCGGCGCATCTCCTTGCTGGCCAGGGTGTAAATGATGGGATTCATGGCAGAATTGAGGACCGCTACTGCAATAAACCAATCTTCTTTATAAAGAATGCTGCAATCGTTGGGCTTACAGGCCACATCGAGTAGTAAGAGAACAAAAAGCGGGGCCCAGCAGGCGATGAAGACTCCTACCACGATCACTACTGTCCTCAGTAAAGCCATCGATCTCTCCGAGTTGTTCTTTGAGAATTTTCTGTTCAAAACTTTGCGGCCACTTGTTTTCACCAGTATGTAAATACGAGCATAAAGTATCACGATGGCCAGCAGAATTGCGCTAAAGATGCCGATACAAAAGACAACATACATTTTGGAGTACAGAGGTAAGACGGTTGAGCAATCGTGGAGGTTGCAGATACAGTTCCAACCGAGGATGGGCAAGGCACCAAGTAAAATGGAAATCAGCCAGGAGGCGCCAATGAGGAGGAAAACTCTGTACTTTTTACTAGCGTCATAGGGTCTCATTTTTATCATGGTCATGTGCCTCTCAATTGCTATCGCTAGCAGGCTGAAGGTAGAGGCGCCCAAGGCTACAAACATGCTACCTTCTCTCAAAAACCATACCAGTGGTGTCAGACTAAATGTCTTATCACCGGACATTAGGATGTTCACTTTATAAGCTATTCCTGCCAGAAGATCAGACAGGGCTAAATTACCAATAAAGTAGTACATGCGATTGTGAAACTTATTGTTTTTCCATATAGCGAGTAGTACCATTAGGTTCTCAAAGACTATGAAACTGCAGATAATCAAAAATGCCACATTTGTTAGCCCCATCCCATCAGTATTCTCTCTCTTGTTTAATTTCCCAGTATAGTTATAATGCTGCTGAATGAGGTCAGTTTTGACACATCCATTGATGGTCGAGTCAACAGGTGGAGATATTAATATCATGATGGTTCTTGCAGTGTCAAATCTTCTTCACTAGATGGAGGCTTTGAGTCATTGTTAAAACAAGGAGGCTTCAATCCAATTTTTCACATGCTGTGGACAAACACAGAGTAAAGAAAAGGCATGAATTTTAAAAGCCAGTTACAAAATCTGAAGGTAAAATTTCATCAATGTGATGCTGCGTTTCAGTAGCAACCAGGAAAGGGTGCTTGCATTAATGCCTATCGATTTTGGCAAGATCACCAAGGATTTGTAACAAAACTCCCTTCAAGTGGTACATAAAGTGCATTCAGAGGATGCTATTAGCACATTGAATAATTAACTCTAAGTGCACAATTCACCTCGCAGTGTAGCACTTAATAAAACCCAAATGCTGGATAGTTTTTCTATCCTGAAAAGTCCTCATGGATTAGGAAAAAACAATGATGGGAATTTAAGATTATAAGAGATTTGGAAATATGCGACATGTCTGAATATGAAAAGGTGATTTCTTTCATGTTGGACTATATTCAGGACTGATTTACATTTTGCAACTAAGGTAGTTTATTTCAGCTGTCACATGGAAAGGCATTGTTACAATGAGGATCAGAGGAGGAAGTCAATCTTTTTGCAATGTCTTTCAACATTTCTTATTATCCTTGGATTTGATATAACATCTTATCACATCATTGAAACATCTCAAAGCTCTTCACATGATTTTTTTTACTGTGAAGCGTAGTGGCCGTGTATTTGTAGATGAATAATAAAGAAACATTCGATTGTGGAGTCCTGTAGCTCAGTGGTCACAGCACTCGCTTTGCAAGAGACACACCTGAGCTCAATTCCAGGCAGGGCGAAACCTTGGGCAAGTTTCCTTACTCCACACACCTCCAAAACAAAAAAAAATTATAAATTGGTCATTTTCAATCCACGATTGTTTGTGGGACACTGCTGTGTGCAATTGGCTGCCATATTTTGCCCACAAATATACAGTCAATTCACTTTACAGTCTATTCTGTGAAGCGCTTTGAGATGTCTAGAAGACGTGAAAAGCGCTATATCGAATGCAAGGATTATTGTTATTATTATAAAGTTAAATTCTGCTAAATTAATTGCTAAATCAACATCATTCATCAATGATGATTTTACTTGAAATTTGCTCAAATAATAAATAATTGCAGCCAGTTTGCAGATATTCACAGCCAAGCTCATTCATTTGCAATTCAGCATAAAACAACATAAACTATTTTGAGCAATGTAATACAATTTGCATTTATACAGGACCATTCAAATCAAGAGGAGTTGCAAAATTCTTATACTCCAAAGCAAATTCACCATTGTTCTTCAAAAGTGATTGGATCTATGTAATGTGCCGGCTGCTGTTTTCAAATAGCTTTTTAGAGACTTTCATGCATTAAGCATTAGAAATAGGATAAATGGAGAATATTTAATTTCATGTATTGAAACAATCTATTTATCTATTATAATAATAATCCTTAATAATAATATTGCATTTGATATAGCGCCTTATCATGTCGTAGAGATGTCTCAAAGCACTTCACAGGATATACTGTAAAGTAAATTGACTGGTATTTTGTGAGGAAAATCTATCTATCTATCTATCTATCTATCTATCTATCTATCTATCTATCTATCTATCTATCTATCTATCTATCTATCTATCTATCTATCTATCTATCCATCTATCCATCTATCCAATCTAAAAATACATAAAACCAAATAAATACTTATTAATGCGATGACACATTCAACCTTTATGTCTTGTAATTATTTGTGAAGTACGGAATAAATTTAAACAAAAAGTATAAGATTAAACATATAAGATCATAACAGAAATGGAATGACTACAAAATAATTTGAGCTGGAAATAAGTGAACATGAAGACAAGATAGAGAATGAAGACTCACCTTTTATACTATTCATTTTTTGCAGGAACATTTCACAGGTCAGTGATGAAGGGGCCACTTGCTGCACAATGTGGTGATCACTGTTTTGTGGTGCCAAATTTTTAGTTTCCTCAGACTCAAAGACTCCCTCGTTTTCTTCCAGTCAATTTCACAATTTTTGTTGAAGTCTTTTCATATTCTTTTCTCAAATGCACTTCTTTTGAAGACTCCGCTTAACAGTTGTAAGAAGCTCTCTTTAAAACATTGCTCATGCTGCAGGGTCAGACTCAATCCTGAATCTAAAACTTTTCCAAGTTGCTTGTTGTTATAGCAATCTTTATGTTGTCTTGTACTCTTCAGGAGATGCTGTCAAGTTTCTTGACACTCTTGTGCTTTCCTCCCAGAGTTTTGCATGAAAAGCTTTTGGACTACAATCTACACAGGCAAATCTTCTGGTGTTGAATTCTCTGTTCTATTACTTTTTTTTCCTTTTCTCAGCCACTGTCTCTTTAACAGCATTAATTAAAAAAAAACGTACTTAATCTTTGCAGTGTTCCTTTTATACTACTCCTTAGTAATATCTCTGCTGTTTCACTCCAAAGGCCTGTTGCTATTTTCTTGGTCGCTCTCAGACTGACTGTGCTGCTTGAAGTTCTCCTCTTATTATATTCCTGTCAGCCTGGTCTTTCTGTCAGTCTGTTTCTGAGTCAATGCCAGGTCCCGCCCCCAAAGGCAGTTTTTATTTTGCTTGTGTGACGTGCTTATGAAAGAAGTATAGGATAGAGAAATGTACAGACACTCAGAATGTGTGTGTGGGTGTGAGAACAATACACATGAAAATTGATGCAAGAGTGTAAGAAAGCGTACCAGGCAGTTGCGGCTTTATTCCCACCTTTTTATGCTGAAAATTCTTAGTCTTGTCGGTTGTGGTAAAATATTAACCGTTGGAGAGAAGAGGAAGAAAGAGATATGTACAAAGACTATTATCTTTGTCTCTAAGGCACTCCAAAACATTATCCAACGTGAAGGGCACTATATAAATGCAACTTTTGAGTGATGAAGCAGAGAGAAAGTAAAGTGGAGAGAGGAGGGATTATCAGGTCTAATTTGCAGTTATCACAAATTCATTTCTAAATAGTAAATCCTGCAGGTACCCAGGTGAGTTTCAAGCTGAACTCGGCTCAGACTTTGATCTTCTTGTTGATTTCCATGAAACCATGTGGTGAAAGGAAGCTCCTGGTGCTTTGTAGCTGATGATTAAGTGTAGATCATCGTTTGAAACTTCATCTCGGGGCGATCTTACAGCTTGCTCTCGAGCCTTCCATTTTTAACCCCTTGCAAACCCTACAAAAGTTTCTATATTGTTGCAGACACGTGACATGCACATTTTGTTGCCACATTTGTTCACTTATACAGGATTTTTAAAAATATATTGTCATTAGATCTGATTTTATCTTGTGCAAATGCAATGTAATCTGTATTGAGTTACCTGATGTCTGCCAAGCCAGCAGTAGAGGGTGGTTGTGGAGCTATGATTGGCCTCTCCATCTCTTGGATGGGGAGCTGGGAAGAATTAACACATTCAAGTTGCTATCTGGTGACCATTGGTGGAAAGTGGACTTGTGCGGATGTCAGATGAGAACAATATCAAGGTCCGAATTTTCTCTCCGTAGCTCAGGGTCCTGACATCAATTGTACTGCTGCTGCTACAGCCTTGGCTGAGATTAGTCAATTTAGCAGGAATTTGAACCTGGGAGCTTCAAGGTCTGTACGGTTCAATTTACACTAGGTAGTGACATTGAAGGAGAGTGTAGATGATGTACCAGGCAGTTGAGGCTTTATTCTCGCCTTTTTATGCTGAAAATTTTTAGTCTTGTTGCTTGTGGTAAAATATTAACTATTATATTATCTAACATGTAGAAACGCAATGTGTGCCAGCTCACAATAGGAGATGTAATATTGCCCACTAGAGATATGACGTGCAGTTTTGGAAACAGAATGTCCCTGATATCCTTATTAATTGGTGTTGCAAAATTTTTGTCCCTTCTGTAACAACATCTTACCAAAGGAACAAAATGTTATTTTAATGAGGCTTGTTGTCTGTGTTGTGTTTATATTAATCACATTTTGATGACGTTATGAGGTCAAGAGTGGAGCAAGTTCAAGAAACTGAGTAAATACTTAACATATGGACACAATATAAGATAATTAAATATATATCTAGAAGAAGAAAATATTTATAGGAGTACGGGGAAAAGGCAGGTAAATGGGACTGAACAAATTGCTCTTTAAAGATCTACGCTGGGCTGAATGGTCGGTCTTCAGTGCTGTACATTACTATGAGCCTCTGGAATGTGGATACTTGAGATGGTTTAAGATACATTTCATTCATTATTTAAGAAATGTAACATTGAAATGTAGTGAATAGTATGCCATCAACATTTAATGGGAACACTTAGACATGGTAGGATATTGCTCTACGAAATTGTTCATAGTGTTAAAGGAGAAGGATTTGCAAAAGAGACAGTGCTTTACATTCATTATCATATATTTTTCTGTCAAATGCAAAGAGGGTGGAATTTCTTCGGAAGTGCAAACATTTTTATTATCCACACACACACATGGAGGTAATGAGCTAGGATAAGTTAATGGTAGCTGAGTCTATGGTACTAGCTTTTCTCAGTTTGAACATCCATCCATCAAAAGTAATCTGGGCACGTTATCTGGGTTAATTACAGAGCTGTCCCTAGCTTGAATTTTTGGAACAACTCAATGATCTACAAAGAAACCAGAAATGGAAGGTTTCAGGAAAGAGGGGTCAGAATTAAAAGCATTCATTTCTCCTTCGAGACCAGGGGTTCCCAAACATTCTGGGCTCAATCTCCCCCAGCTCCCCCCACATACACACACAGCATATTAGATACCTTGATTGAAGACCCTTTCTTCCCAACTCGGGCTGCACATGCTTCCTGCAGCGCAGTGAGGCCTCACTCCTCTTTCATAGATTCCTACAAAAGACTGCCCTGAACTTTGCAATGAAACCATGGGAGCACTCCTTCCAGGATTCCATGGACCCCAGTTTGGAAAACCCTGTTCTAGACAACAGGTTTTATTTCAGTAGTTGAATTGTGTAGCTTACGTGAGTGCTTTACATTGAAAATACTTCTATCTAGGCAGTCAAATAAAGCACAAAATTGACAACTGTAAAAGATCCCCTTTACTGAACAACTGCATGACTATTTTAATATTATGTTGTTTTAGTTGAGATAGCATCCTTTCAAATGTGGTAATAAATAAAGAACAGGCATAAGGTACTACATTTAATTTGTACTGTTTGTGAGTGTACCAACTCTATGTGCTATGTGTCATGCAATTTATATTGGCAACTTTCAATGTGTTCATTTCAATTTATTTCTGGTGCATGATTATATTGCAGGATCGGGAAGGAAATAGCTTTCTGTGACAAAACAATTACACACCACAACATCACACAATAGAATGCAATATCACAGAATACTGTAATATAACTCGATCCAAATCAAGGGTGTGCTATTAGGCTTCTTTATTTGTCAATCCAAACACTCAAAAATCCACCACTCTTAACCACACACTTTGTCCCACTCCCAGTGTCCTTTAATACTTCCTGCCCTTATTCTTATTGGCCCTTTTGTTAATTATCAATTTACTCTTAAAGGAGTATCCAACAAATACAGTAATGCAACTCAACAACATACAATGGAACACAACAAAATACAATGCAACACATTGCACAATTCTCAGTGGTCCTCCCAAGTAGCTCGCTATGCATTAAAACAACAACTTGCATCTATATTACGCCCTCCATGCCAGGCGGCATCCCAGAGCACTTGGGACACAGTACATCTCAATCCATCCCAATTTTCAGCCCAATTGTGGACTAACATGCACTTGTTGTGAGAATATTAGTAATAATCCTTGCATTTGGTATAGCACCTTATCACATCATCGAGATGTCTCAAAGCGCTTCACAGGATATACTGCAAAGTGGATTGACTGGTGTATTTTGTGGTCGAAATGCCAGTATAAGTAGAGCCTTGTAAGTTGCTAGGTCATAAAGTGCTTCTCTTGCAGGGAATCTGTACAATCTCCTTCCCAAACAGAAAAAGATTTGCCAAGCATTTATTTCTGAAGATGGCACACAATTTTGTTGGTAGATCCAGCACACAGAAGTTGGAGATGAGGTGTCTACTGAGCAGTAATAATTAAGGAATGGGAATACGTTTCATGTGTTCAACATAATAATGAATAGATTAAAAATATTATGAAATGCTTCACATTTCACCCCATATTTAGCTGTATTTTCAGATATTATTTCATTAGGGCTCTTTATATAAATTCAGTGTTCTCTTTTGTTTTCAAAAATATTTATTTTATTGCTAATGTCTATAGATTTCCTATTAGTAAACACTAATATGTGGTATTTCTTAAAAGCACTCTTCAATACGTAGCCAGTTACATAATCCATGATTCATAAAAATAAAATTTAAGAGGAACTACTTCAAGCAGAGAGAAGTGAGGATATGGAAATTGCTTCCTGAAGTGATGGTTAAAGGGGGGTAAGCAGGGAGATCGAAAACACATTTGAATAGGAGGGTCTTGAGATGGGTCTTGAAGGAGGCAAGGGAGGGGGCGAGGTGGAGGGACTGTGGGATGGAGTTCCAGAGAAGGGGGGCAGAGTGGCAGAAGACCTGCCCACCAATGGCAGAGGAAGCGGGCAGGATGTAAGGGGGTTAGGAGGTCGCAGAGGTAGGGGGGAGCAAGACCATGGAGGGCTTTGAAGGTGAGGACTAGGATCTTGAACTGTATCCTCTGTGGGATGGGAAGCCAGTGGAGTTGGGCGAGGATGGGGGTGATAGGGTCGCGGACCCTGGTGCGGGAGAGGACGCAGGCTGCCGAGTTCAGGATGATCTGCAGCCTATGGAGGGAGGAGTTGGGGAGACCAACAAGCAGGGAGTTTGCATAGTCGAGCCTCGATATAATGAAAACGTGCATGAAGGTTTCGGCGGCCTGCGGTTTGAGACAGTGGCGGAGCCGGGCGATGTTACGGAGGTGGGGGAAGACAGAGCGGGTCATGGTGCAGATATGGGGTAGAAAGGATGGTTGAGGATCAAGCAAGATGCCAAGGTTCCAGACTGGCTCAGTGAGCTGGAGTGTGCAACCATGGATGGTGATGCCGTCATTGCCTGAGGTGTGGATGCGCTAACGTTCAACTGAAGAAAGTTAGGTCTCATCCAGGACTTGATGTCTGTCAGACATTCTGTCAGGACAACATTAATACTGGAGTCAAAGGTGGAGGCAGAGAGGTAGAGTTGTGTGTCATCCGCATACAAGTGGAAGTTGACCCCATGTCTGCGGATGATATCAAGAGGGAGTATATAGATATAGAAGAGGAGGGGACCAAGGACAGAGCCCTGAAGAATGTCACAAGAGAGTGCGGGGGCTAGAGGAGAAATCGTTTGTGGAGATAAAGTTGAGGTGGTGTGAGAGGTACGATCTGAACCGGTCAAGGACAGAGCCGTGAAGGTTGAGGTGGGAGGAGAGGCAGTGGATGAGGATAGAGGTTGACGGTGTCGAAGGCAGCAACGAGGTCAAGAAGGCTGAGGAGGCAGAGGGAGCCCTGGTCACAGATGGACAGAATGTC